ATACTTATTTGGAATTTAAAAGTTGGATTGCAGAAAATTCAACATTTTTAATTAAATTAATTCAAGAAAAATATTTTCATGCCGAGGTAACTACCGTATGCTACTCTTACTTAAGAGTAAGGTTCTACTCGCCTAACTTAAAGAGGAACTTATCTTTAATTCAAAATAAAATTCATGATGAAATTGTTTCTTAAGTGTTACAATGAATATTTCGAACTAAAAAAAGTATAATCATTTTAAATTGGTTCAAATTGCAGTTAGATAGAAAATAATATCATTTGCAGCGTACAGCTGAATCGAAGATTACCGAACCATGACACCCAATTTACATATGGAATACTAAATAGAATGTGCTGCCAGAAAGAATATATTTTAAATTGATTGGCTTTGTCTTCGCAACTTGGTCACATTTGTAGGAAGACCAAGGGTAAGGCACCTAGTCCGAAGTGTATTATATGCATGCTACTTTCCAGAGTGGGAACGTGGACTTGGTACATTACCAGACGTTTCACCAGCATCGTCAGTGGGCATTGCCAGTCTTAGCCCGGCATCACAACCCGTCAAAGAGACAAGTGAAGCCGATTTTTTGACCAATTGTCTGCTAAGCAATCGTGGTATTTCATTTTCCGCCCTTGGCTAATCACCAATCCTACATCCTTGTTTCACGTCTTCACTATTACAATTTTTACTTGCCCCGTAGGATCCGTCTGCTAGCTCTGATAACATCTATGGAATGAGAACTGCTTAGCAATTGTAAAGACTCTGATCAACATTCCAAGCACAAGGGTGAAGGAGTGGGTGAGGAGGTGAGAAAGCCGGTGTGTAGTGTGAATAGTTGCCATGAAATCGGCTCAAAAGGACACACCATACCACGAGGATACGATACGAGGATATAGAATTGATGATTAGCCCAAGGGAGAAGGAGAGATACCACAATTGTTTAGCAGACAATTGGTCAAAGGATCAGCTTCAATTGTATCTGGGACGAGTTGTAGTGTGGTGCTAAGAGTGGCAAGACTCATTGACGATGCCGATGAAGCTTCTGGGAATGTACCATATCCACAGTCAGACTCTGGAAATTATCGTGCATACTATGGACTCCGGATTAGCTGCGTTCCTCTAGGTTTTCCTGACAATATGATCAAATGACTTCTATACAACGAAAGGAGACTTTTTAAAATTCTTAAATGGGGATTAAACATCTTAGATGGTATGACGGATAAGAATTATTTGAACTGCAACAGAATATAATCAGGTAGTCCTCATTAAATGAGATGTATTCACCCTATTTCGTCTAAGTTGATGAAGGACTGGTAGCAGAAGTTTCCCACAATGATATGATTTGAGCTGACGTTTCCATTGAATTTCACATAGCCTTGCTTTCCCAAAAGTTGTTCTCGTGGCAGTGTAGCCGAGTGGTTAGCGTGTCAAGCTTCCATCCTGCGATATCGCGGTTCGACTCCCGCTGAGGGTGTTGATAAGACCAATGCGAGGTCGAAACTGCAGTCCACCCAGG